CGCGCTGCGTGACGTCACAGTGTGCGCCCTCGCCGCCGCGCTCCGTGATTCCCGCGCGGGAATCTTGCTGGACCGAGGCCGCGGCGTCCCCCGCTCTGCGACATGTCGATGCTGGCGGAGCGTGAGTGTGGGCGCCGAGACCCGAGGGGGCGCGGGTGGAGCTTCTCGGAGGCGCGCTCAGCCAGACCCAGGGTCGAGGGACTCGGGTGGCGGGCGCGCGCGGTCCCGGGGGACCGGCCCGGGCAGCCCCAGGCTTCGGCTCGCTCTGGCTTCCGCGCAGGTCAGCCCCGGCCGCTGCTAGTGCCAGTGTCCACTCGGACTCTTGTCCTCACGCTCACCTGGGCGCGCGGGGTCGAGCGGAGCCCGGGCCCGACCTTCCACTTGGCCGGGCCTCGGCTTCCGGTGTTAAAAAGAGGAGCGCGGGCCGGCCGGCGCGAGGCGGTGAGAGCCCGTTCTCTAGTTCGTGAGCCCAGGAAAAGGACAGCAAGGCCGTCGAGGCTGCAGGCAGCGCGTGCGCCGGTTCAAGGTGTCAGGCCCGCTGGCCCAGTCTTGGAAGGCTCGGCCTTGTCTTCGCCCCTTGGGGGTGGGGTCCGCTCTCCTGACTAGCTGTTGGTCGCCACGCCGCGTCCGGCCTCAGGTGGCCTTTCACAGGTACCTTCCGAGAGGCTCTCTTCATCCCTCTGGAGCGGTGGCCGGACCGGGATGGTGCCTGCGGCTAAGGTCGCCTGCCACCAGATGGCAGTCGTGTCTCGGTCCTGAGAGGAGAGCCAGTTACTTGGGGGAAGCAAGTTGGGTGACGGCCAGGGCCAGCAGCTGAACCGGCCCAGGGGCTTTGTGAACTCAGCTGCTGTCAGCACTGCATGGGGTCATAAATCTGGACCAGAGATTGAGAAGGGTCACTGATCCAGTTGTCAGTATCTCTGTTTGCTCCGGGAGGGCGGGCAGTTGGCTCTTGGTTTTAAGTGGAAATTCTTAGGAGCATGCTTCAGCTGTGACCCTGCAGCTTCTGATCCTCCTTCTGGAAAGCGGCTGGAGCCTCCCCAGATGGTGGAGACTGCTTTGTTCTTCCTGTCCTGTGATGTGTGTTAAGTCAGCGTGCTCTTCACTGCCGGCTCCCTGGCTTTGCAGCTTTTATGTCCCTTGCTATGGGCACTCTCATTGAGGCCTTCAAAAGCTGCTTTTTTCGTCACCATCAGGCTGACTTTAAGTCAGTAGGATGGCGACCATGAGGGTAGTTCCGAGTCTGAAGTGGTATGCAGGTATGAAGCAGTTTGTAGACATTGCCTGCTCGTCTGTGACGTGAAGGGAACTTTCTGATTCTCGCCCCACTGTGACTCGCAAGTCTGATTTTTGTTGTAAGGCATAATATTTTGTTTTGTGTCTTTTTAAAATGTGCTAAAGTAATATCTGCAGCATCCCTTGTGGTTAGAGATGAAAACACAGAAGCCTAAAAAGTGCCAGTGTCGCTGGCCAGCAGTTACTTGCGCGGGTCACTCATGAGCGTGGGGCTCCCTGCAGCTGCAGCTCTGTGTTCTGCTCGCACCTCGCACCAAGGTGAGCTTTCCCACCGCCCTGAGGGTGCGGTTTCCTCTGCTCTGGGCCAGGTTCTGGCCCCTCCATCTTCACCACCGTGCCTGCCCGTTTTTCAAATCTGATAATTTTCCTTGAAAACATTCTTCATTCCGTATGTCAGTAACTATCAAGTGTAACTGCATGTTTCTCCTTTATGTGAGACAAGAAACCAGGCTTACACACACCGAGCTCACCGCACATAAGCCAAGAATTTCACTGCTCCGCCTCCTAGTCTTCGGTAATTTGTAGTTTTAGGTCAGGTTTTTAGTCAAGATGTTAGACTTTTCATAGACTCTTCACTTTTCCAGACTGTTTTTGACACTTGACATTCAGTTACACGTTATAGTTAAATCCTAACTTAGATGGTGACGCTGCTTGAAACAGCTGTGCTTTGCCGAATGTGGACCCCCACCGATGGAATGCCTTGGCTGTTTGTCACTTAGGAGGGGACATCTAGGGTGACCCATGGCCAGGCTGTATGTTGAGAGTATACCGCTGTTGCAGAAACCAGGGAAGTGACCTAGTCCGTGACGTTTCCTTGGATGCATAATCCAAGTACGACACAGCTCGTGTCATACTCCGCGCATGTTTGTGTCTGTGCTGGGCATGTGCGCATGTGTATGGGATCGCCCGGGCGAGAGCGAGACGCCTGAGGAGATGCTCTGTCACTTACAGGTCGCCGGAAGCAGAAGTGGGCCGTGGATCCCCAAAACACTGCCTGGAGTAATGACGACTCCAAGTTTGGCCAGAGGATGCTGGAGAAGATGGGGTGGTCCAAAGGGAAGGTACGTCAGACCGAGCTCAGGCATCTGAGCCTGGAAGAGCCGTGGCAAAGGAAGAGCGCAGGTGCTGCTTTCTGAGACGGAGCGTTTCTGTCGGGACATGGGTCAGCTCTGTTGTGGGCGGCCATGTGAGAGTCCTGGCAGCTCGCCTTTCGTGAGCTCAACTTGGAGCTACACTTAGCCGTCAGAAGTGCAGGCTGCTGCGTCCTGGCCCCGCTGTAGCTGGGCCTCGTGTCCTCCCTTTTGATTCCCGATGCCAGGAGCGCTCCTGCCGCCATCACCACACGTACGGCGTCCTAGTCAGGGCCTTTGCTGCTCTCATCGCCAAGTCCCCGGCCCTGGCCTCCGCTTGCGTAACCCCTGGCAGCACTGGACACAGTCGCCCAGTCCCGAGCGCTGGGACGCTCCCGTCTGGCTTCCAGCACCAACCTCTCTCCTGCTTCTCCTGTCCCTGGCCAGCCCTCCCAGTTCATGGCTGGCTCTTCCTCGACCACATCCACATTCCTGAGCTTAGCTCTCGCGGGGTTCAGCCCAGTCCCGCTTGGCTCTCTGCTCAGGGATGTGTGTCCTTCCTGGCTTTTTGTGGCGAGTCTGAGAGCACACTCTTCTCCTTGTCTTGATCTGTCACATGCCAGCCTGCTTCACTTCTCCACGTGAGCAAGCGTCTCAGGTTTATCGCTGTTTTTATTCAGTTCCAGACCCTCCCCCCCCCCCAGGTCTGGTACCAGTTTTGTACGTGGTCCCCTGTCTACCTCGGTCCCCGGGTGACTGCGCGGGGCATGCAGGCCCCTCCACCCCTCTGTCTGTTCCTCTCTGTGGGGTTTCCACCCCGCTCCAGCCCCCGGCCTGTCCTGATGCTGCAGCAGCCTCTCGGCCACGTCGCCAGGCCATTTGTCGCGTTCGAAAGTAAATAAATCAGACCATGTCATCCCCGACTAAAGCCCACTGGTGTCCCGTTGTTTTTATAAGTAGGCGCCGCCCTGCTGCCTGTGGGCTGCAGGATGCCCGAGCTCTGGGGCGCCTGTGGACACTGCTTGGGATCCCCTCTCCCCTTTCCGTGGTGAAATTTCATAGCATAATTCCGTGTGGCGAGAGCTCTAGATTTGTGTTACCGCCAGTGCGCTGCACAGCGCTCTGACGCTCAGAAGTCGGCTCCCGGTGTCTTCGTGGCCTTGAATGGTGGCCGGTTTGCACAGCCGCCCTTCAGTGTTTACCCGTGTCTGGGCTTTCTGGGCGCCGCTCGTCAGTACCGGTAGCCATGGTTCCTCCATCCCTAGCTCTGGGAGTTCTCGTGGCACGGGCAGTGTCTCAGTCCCAGGTGCCTGTGCCCGGGGGCGTGGGGGAAAGGCGGGCAGGGGTCGCTTTTCTGATGGACACTCAACCTGTTCAATCTCCACAGGGCCTGGGGGCTCAGGAGCAAGGAGCCACAGAGCACATTAAAGTTCAGGTGAAGAATAACCACCTGGGACTCGGAGCCGCCATCAACAATGAAGTAAGCAGCAGTGTGTCTGCCGGGGCCTTCACTGCATGGCGGGCTTCTTGTGACTGAGGACTCGTGTCCAGCCTCGCTGAGCCACTGCAAGTGCGCGTGGCCACGTGTCGGTCACTGCTGCGCCCGGCCCTGCTGGCTGGCACCACCTGTCGCCCTGGCCTCCGTGGCCTGACTGACTGAGTGGCCCAGCCTAGCTTTGCAAAAAGTATTCCTTTATAGAAAAGCACTTGAGGATGAGGAATGCCATCTGGCCTGCGCTCTAGCACTGAGTCACTCCAGCCGGCCTTCGGCTTCAGAAACACCTCGAGGAAGTGCGTTTTCCTGTTCCCTGACCTGACTGTTGGTGTTCAGCAGTTGAGTTGATTCACTTTTCCTCGTGAACATAGACTCTGCAGATATGTGACTTAAGTCTTTTTCTTTCTGTTCTTTGCTCTAGAAAGGGTCTCAGCTGAAAGCTTTGTTAAATAAATTTTTGCAGCCAACAGAATCGTGGAGAAAATCAGAGTTGCATTAGGGAAGCTGGATCACGCTGCTTACTCGCACTGGCGTTGGGCTGGTTTGAAGGAGGGTTCCCAGATGCACTCAGTCTTGGAGCCCCGCTCTGCTCAGAGCACGTTTTAGCGTGCCTCCGGTTAAGCGGAACCCCTAGTGCTCTTTGAAAGTACTCGCGACGCAAGCCCCCTGCGCGCGGCTGGTGCGGTGTGGCGGGAGAAGGCCACCCTCGAGGCCGGAGCCCTCACCACAGCCGCCGACCAACGGCAGGCGGAGCTGAAGCCTTCCTTCCGCCTGCTGCTTCCCGGGGGTCGTGAAATCAGGGTCCACGAAGGCAGCTGGAACTGGCAAAATAGTTTAAATTCAGATGAGCAGAGAACTGAAAATCCATTCCGACCTTTTCCTTCGGCCCACATACTTTCCCCTCGTGGGAAAGACGTTCATTTTACCTTGTTACGGTGACGCATGTGCAAGATGCCTGGCGGCTGACCGTTGCCTGTCGCTGACCCACGTCGAAGTCGGGGCTCGCCTGTGTAACACACCTGCTCTTCAGGCTGCAGGCTAGAAGCCCCGGTCTGTATTCTCCATTCCGACTCGCACTGTTCGGGGCCACAGTTGGAATCCAGGGGCCGATGAGATTTCTTTGGACCCCAGTGTGCCCTGTCTCCGCCTGTGGCCACAGCGCTCTCACCCACTGGGCTGTCTTTTTCAGGACAACTGGATCGCGCACCAGGACGACTTTAACCAGCTTCTGGCTGAACTGAACAGCTGCCACGGGCAGGAGGCAGCAGGTAGGCCCTGCGCGCCCGGCGCTCGGGGGGCGTCCGCGGGCGGGGCGGGGCGGGGCGGGGCGAGGACTTGTGCTCGCGGCGCTGTTTCCGCTTTGGGGCTTGAGCGTGGCCAAGAAATCCATTAGTTTGCAGTCTCACTGACTGACCTTTCCGAATGCGACCGAAACGTGTTTTTGAAGTCAGAGTCAGAAGGGGCAGCCAGGGCCGACACCGGCAGCCCGAGGCCAGAGCGCTCTCCAGAGGGGCTTCGCGCGGACTCTGCTCCTCGGGCTGCGCTTTACTCTTCGTTCCTGGGAACTCAGCGGCTCAGTGCGGTGACCGGAGCTGCCGGGCCTTGGCACCACGGCCGTGCTCCTGGCTGCGGCAGGCGGGCAGAAGCCCGGCGCCCGCGGCGCTGCGGGGCGGCACCCTGAGACCTGCGCCGTGCGGGGTGCGGGCGGCGGTGGGCGCAGTTTCTTGTCAAGTGGCTGTTTGGAAGGCGAGGCTGTAGCTTCACTCGATCTGCTGCGTATTCGTGAAGAAGTCTGGACTTTCCTTGGTTGCACGAAGTGCATATAAGCCAAAATCGAAAGCCTTGACCACGGAGCGTGATGTAAATCGTGCGTTCAGCACCAACACCGACACGGGACCAGTGTCCAGAGCTCTTGGTCCTGCGAGGCCGGCACTCGCTATTAAACGCGCGTTCTCCATTTGCCCTCCTCCCCGCCACCAGCACCCCCACTTTATTTGTCGCCTCGACGATTCTGGGAACCTCGTGTAAGTGGGATGGCGCCGTGTTTGTCCCGTGGACTCTGGGCCATTTACGCGCCGCACTGTCCCGAGCTCCCCCGGGGCTGCGGCTTTGTCCCCGCCCGCCGAGCAGTGTCCGGAGCGCCCAGGCCACGCTCGGCTCCTCCGCTTGCTGGCCGCCTGCCTTCCGCCCCGGCTCCGTGGTGGTGCCCCCGCTCGGGCCTGGTGTCACCGGGCCTGCAGCTGCTGGATCACGTGGTGGCTCCGGGGAGCCTCCGGCTGCTCTCCGCGGAGGCTGTGCTTTCCACCCCCGACTCCAGGGCTCCGCTGTGCCGCCGCCCCCACCTTGTTTTCTGTTTACCTGAGCAGCTGCCCTCAGCGTGTGGTGCCCTAGTGGCCTGGCTCTCGGGGTGTGACTGAAGAAGCACTGGGGATTGTGGCTTAGAGACGTGAGGAGCCAGGCTGCCGGGAGCCCGAGGCGCTGGGTGCGACTCCACCCGAGCCTCTTGGGCCTGGGCTTCCTCTCGGTGGCCTTGGAGGTGGTTGGCACAGCGGCAGCGCTTTGGGCACTGGGCAGCATGCAGCGTTCAGTGGGCAGTGCCCTGTTTCCCACGGCCGTGGAGCTGGGCCCACGACGGGCCTGCCCCTGGCTCGGGGGGCACCGTGCATGGCAGCGGCTGGCGGTGCAGATCGATGGCCTTGTCAGGTGCGCGGCTCTTCACGTGTCGTTGATGAAACCAGAGAGAACAGTGAGCTTCCCCAGATGAATCGTTTGAATGCTCTTAAGGTAATGGCTATTATAAATAACTGGACTAACGACAGCAAGGTATCAATAAAATTTGAGGTCTCTGCTACTGACGACGACCTCCAGTCTCAGGCAAAGGCAGATGAAAAGCAGCAGGCTGCTGCTGGGGTAAAGATGAAGGGCGCGCGTGGCCAGCGGGTCTCCGTGTGGCCCGGCGTCGGCGGACTGGGCCACCCTCGTCTCTCGGTTGGGGGCCCCTGCGGGGGGCAGGATGTCGCAGGACGGTCCTCATCCCAGCAGTGCCGCCCAGCGCGACACAGACTGTCGCCTCGGCGTCTGTCCTGTTGTGTGATGGTTGCTCTGGGCTCTGGCAGTGCCGCCTGCCCCGGGCGGCAGCCGAGTGGCTCAGCGTCCCCGGGCGCCCTTCGCACGTGGATGTGTGCGCCCGTCTGCGTCCTGCTCGGTCTGTCGCCGCCGCGCACTGTGCTGCGAGCTGGTGCCCGCTGCACGCCGCACTCGGAGGCGTGACTGGCGCCCAGCTGCCTGCGCCCCCGGAAAGGCACTTAGCGCCCCCGGAGTGCCAGGCCTCCCCGCCTGGAGCGGCTGCAGCCAGCCGCCAGCTGCCCCTCTTGCTGTGCCGGCCACGCTGGTGCCAGAAGCAGCCTTCACCCCCCTCCGCTGGCCCTGGCTTTCTTTTCTTTCTTTTTAAAGACTGACTTATGCACCCAGACTTGGGGCGCAGGCCAGTGGTGCAGAGGCAGTGAGAGGGTTCACCAGAGACAGGGTGGGGAGCAGGACAAGCCGACCAATTGAAATCCACTGCTGAGGGGAGCAGCGGGGAGACAGGAGAGGTCTGTGCGCCCTGGGGTCCCTCCCCGGCCGCAGATCGAACTCAGGCTGCAGAGGCTGCGGGAGCTTCACAGTGCTGCGCCTCAACCTGCGGCTCCCCAGGGAGGGCCCTTGCCCTGGGTTTCTCTTGGAGAGATGGTTGCACTGCCCCGCCCCACCCCACCCCACCATCTGAGAAGCAGAACTCTGCTTGGGACCTTTGCTCTTTAGTAAACTTGATGGAGATATAAAATATATGCACTACCCACTTGTGTCTCAAATACATGCACAATTTTGGTTTATTTCAACTAATAGCAAATGTTTAAGTGCAGATATTTTGCCTTTGGATTAAGATGTCATGATAGTAGACTACAGTTCATACAACCGGAGGAGTACATTTGTATAAATGATGACTGCTCAAAGCACGAACCTCTGGAAGTGCGCCTTGGGCTGGGATGGGTGGGTGCTGGGCTCCCGCCGGGCGGGCGGGCGCGGCCGAGAGGAAGGGGCGCTGGGCTGGGGCTCCGGCTGCAGCACAGCGCTCCCACCGGGCCGAGGCCCGGCCGATGCCCTCCGTGCCAGCAGCGTGGGGAAGGAGGCTGCCTGGCACAGGCGGGGGCGTCTGATGCCGCCAGGACCTGTGCCAGAGGGGCGCCCCGGGGCTGCCTCCTGGAAGTGTGGGAGCAGCCCTGCTGGGGCACAGCGTGCGTGAGGAGTGTGGACACCCCGCCACACCTGCCAGCCTGCCTCTGTCCCCATGGAGGGCCGGGTCCGTGGTTGAGGCGGCGCCCGCCGGGGCGGGAAACGGGAGATGAGGCGCCACTTGAAGCTGGTGGCTGGCTCGGCGCGCCGTGTTCAGGAAGAAAGGTCGAGAACGTTAGCTCCGCTGAGGACAAAGAGGAGTCTGTGGTACTGCCGTTGACAACGTCCCGAGCAGCGGCCTTGAGGCGTCCCAGTTGGTGGGGCGAGGCCGCGTGACGGGCTCCGTCTTCCCGGGCAGCCCGAGGCCCAGCCCTGCACCCGGGCGGCCCGGCCCGTGCCTGTCGCTCTGCCGCCGCCCTGCCTGCGCCCGGCTCCCCGGCTCCCCGGCTCCCCTCCCGTCACGTCTGGGAGGCCTTTTCCGTCCCGTGTAGAAGTGGCCACGCGGCAAGCCGAGCGAGTGCTGCGGAGGGAGGGCCGCGAGCCTCCTGGGCCTGGTGCGGCGCCCGCGCTCTCTGCCGCCGCCGGGTCGGGTCAGCGTCACCCGCAGAGGCGCTGCCTCATCCGCCCCGTGCCTGAGCCGGGCCCTGGGCCTGCCGCCGGAGAACCTTCTCCCAGTGGGGTCGCGGGCGCGCCCTTGACTGTCCTCGGGAGGCTGTGTCCGGCTCTGGCCGGACGTAGCGGTGGGGCGGGCGCCTGCCGGCGTCTCACGGTGGGTTCTCACCCTTCTTCCTCTTCCTGCGGGTTCTGGGATGTCGGCGGGACGGCCAGGCCCGGTCTCTGGCGCCCAGCTGAAGAGAACTAGCCCTCGCCGGATGGAGTTCAGTCTGGGTTTGCGCTAGCCAGGCCGCGGCCGGGAGTGGCCGCGAGAATGGCTTGTGACACTTTGTCTTTCTCTTTTTTTTTTGGAGATTCCTTGGACAGCAAGGAAAAGAAGGCGTTCAGCCTCGAAGAGAAGTCCAAAGTCTCCAAGAGCCGCGTTCACTACAAGAAGTTCACGAAAGGTAAAGCGAGCGGCTCTTCTGCTGCTGCCCACTTCCTGCTCGCAGGCGCCTCCCAGCCTCGCGCTCGGCCTGTGGCCGGAGGGGCGACTGCCAGCCTGGCCGCCCAGCTCGACGGCGCTGAGGCCCAGCGCGTCCGGCTCTGGCCTCCCGACGCCGGGGGCTGACGCCGTGCTGAGAGTGGGCTGGCGTGGCTGGGTCAGAAAGTGACCTGAGCGCGGGCGTTTCCGCCCGTCTCCGCACACGTGGGTGCTGAGCGCCCTCTGCAGCGTGCTGCTTCAGCTGGCTCTGGCGGGGCGCTCCCAGCCGCGCTTGCTTGGCCTGCGCCTTCTGCCCAGTTCCCCTGTTGCAGTCCCCCAGAAGCTTTCCTTGGGAGCAGGCAGGTCAGCCCCGCGGCGCCCTCGCGCCGTGGCCACCAGGTGGCGGCCTTGTGCCGTCCCGGCAGGGCTGGCGAGCGCTGCTGGCGGAGGCGGTGAGGACGACTCCTGTGCCGCTGGGTCACTGGCCCTGCTCTCGTGACCTGCTCTCGTCCGCAGCGTGGTGGGAACGTGGCCTTCACGGGCACGTTGGCGTGACCGGGGCCCCTCACGGCTCCAACTGCCCAGATCACAGGGGAGCGGGGATTCCCACGGCGCCCAGCTGTTCGTGGCGGCCCTGGTGTCTGGCCAGACCCCCAGGAGGAGGGGTGGATTGGCTTCATCCACCGCCCACACGGAGCTGCGTGCGTCGGCCGCGGGGTGGGGGTGGTACGCGCACGCCGCGGCTCCCTCCGAGCAGGTGTGGTACGCGAGACTCGTCCTCTCAGTCCGGAACCTTCCCTGCTGTTTTCCTTTGGGCTTCTCTCCGGCCCACCTGCTGCCGGACAGAGACAGGTGGGGCACACGGTCTTTTTGAGCACAGAACGATGGTCACTTTATTCCAGTCCCCAAAACAAAACCTGCTTTTCCTCGGACCCTAGAGGAGACACGGTGACGCAGTGGAGGGCGCTGCTGCCAGCCAGAGCGCGATGTTAGCAGGGCCCTCGCTGTGGGGCGGGCTGGGCGGCCCTTCACGCTTCCGCTTTTGAGATAGAATCTTCCCATTTTCCTTTATACCCGACTACACGCACCGTTTCACTTGAAGCATTTGCTGAAGCTGGTGTAAAGCCCTTTAATCTGCCTCCATCTCATGGTCGCCAGGAGTCTCTGCTTCCTTTCTGTGGAGCCGCCCGGTGGCCCTGTCGCCTCCGAGGGGCTCTTGCCTTCAGCTTCCGGCTGTCAACCAGGTTTGCTTATTGTCAGCCCGTCACCCAGGCGAGGGAGGCGAGGGCGCTGCTCCGCGGGAGCGAGAGGCAGGGACAGGAGACAGCCAGAGGGTGGGGAGCGCCCGGGGGAAGGGGCAGCAGCCGTGCGCTGGCAGGGCAGAGGGCGGAGCAGGAGCGCAGCGCCCGTGGTGAGGGAAGAGGGCGCGCGCTGCCTCTCGAGGCCAGGAGGAAGCCCTCTCTGCGGCCCTGCGATCTCCTGAAGGGCGTCCCGGGGCGGCCATGCTGACGTGTGTGGCCCACTCGCAGGCGGGCTCCTCGTAGGAGGCTGTCCCGGGCCCCAGGGCTGCTGCCGGCCGTCACCCCGAGGCAGACCTCTCTGCCTGTTGACTCAGTTTCCCCCTTTGCAGAGTGAGGACAGACTTTTAAGTCATCACAGCACATAGTTTTATGGCCCATTTTACAAAACTCTTCTTGATTGTCCCGCATTCTGGTAATCCGGGTTTCCGCCCAGGTGACGCTCATAAGGAGAGCCTCTAGCTCACCCATCCACGAGGGTGACTCACGCTACAACGCGTCGATGGTCGGGGCTGAAGAAGGGCAAGGGGGCCTCGCTGTAGCTGCCGGGGGGTGATGTCCACGCCGGTGAGGTCTCAGCAGCCAGCGGCTCTGTAAAAGTTGCTGCTGCCCTCGCATTTCAAAAGCGACGTCATTCATTTTCAGGTCCTGACTGTGTGGTTTCTCTTCACTGGAAAAATGTGTGGCCAGGTCACATCTGCAGGAAGAGGAAAATGGAGAAATGCCCCCCTTTGAATTTCCAGGAGACGCGGCCGCAGCCGGGGCTCGGGGGAGTTGGCGTGGCGTGGGGGGCTGGAGGCAAGGTGCGAGCTTGGTCGCGCGTCGAGTCATCTGCTCACACTTCTCATTCGTGTGACTGTTAGGCTGTTTTGCTTCCTAAGCACGGAAGTTCCAGGCACAAGGTGTGTCTGGTAGTCGGCTTGCTCGTGTGGAACCCAGAGCTCCTCCTCGCTGCCCACCGTCGCCCCTCAGCTGGGCTCTGCCAGCTGGGCCTCGGGCTGCACGTCTGACTCCTGAGACATCTGGGTAGCGTGTCGCCCCCAGGCCTCAGAGCGCTCCCCTCTGTCTTTCCAGGGCGAGTCCCTCCCGCGGCCCCCCAAGGCCTTACCTGTCAGGGAGGCTGTTGCCTCCTGCCCTAGATGGCTCATCCCATGGTTCTGTGTTAAAACACCAGAATACAGCGATGAGTCACCCTTGGTCCGGATGCTCGCGGCTCTTCCAAGCGAGCGCTGCCCCCGTAGCCTGGCAGAGGTTTTGTTGGGACGCGCGTTTTCCGGCCCCGTCGTGGCGCCCGCGTCCTCCCCTTCGAGCTTGTCGGCGCTTCACGGCTCCAGAAGAGGCCTCAGACGCCACGATTCTCCGGTTCTGGTGTTAGGGTTGTTTAGCTGACTCCCCGCACGGTGGGGCGCCCGCCCATCCGGGTGCTAGGAAGCAGCGGGACGACGGCAGAGTGCGCCTGGCAAGGCCGTGCTCATGCCCCTGCGGGCCGCGGCAGCTGGCGCGGGAGGCCTTTTCCCGGCCAGAAGGCCCCGCCCCAGGAGGCCACAGCGTGCGTGCGTGCCGTGGTCCGGCCCGGCGCCGCGTCCAGGGGTGCTGGCTGTGGCCGACCAGCTCGGGCTGAGAGCGGCAGGCTTCCTTCCGGAGGACACCTCCAGACACGTGGTCATCCACGAGCTCCCCCTCTTAGGCTGGCCCCAGGGCCGTGCCAGCGGCGCTCTGCGCCGCTCCATCTCCCCATTTTTCCTTTCTGTTCCTTCCCACTGGCCTCTGACTCTTCTTTCTTCTCTCTTTTGTCTTCCAGATCAAATCCAGAGGGCAAGGCCTGTAACAGTCCTGGTTTCTGCACTTAACTTAATGAACCTTGCTAACGAATAGACCTTGGTCAGACCAGAGCCCAGCCGCACAGTTTAGACTGCTTGCGCCGCCTGCTCAGCTCATGGGCCCCCGCCCTCCAGTGTCCCTTGGCTTTTAGGTTTGTGTTGGGGCTCCCCGCAGGCCTCCCGCCTTTGAATCCAGGTCTGTTCTGCGTGTGCCCTCCCTCCCTGCTTCTCCCCAGCAGCTGTCCTGCGGGGGCTTGCTGTAAGGGGCCCATTTGCGTACTGCTAGGCTGTCTGTGCTCCCAGGAGGTCGGGTAGTGCCAGGTGGGCATTCGCTCAGCTCCTTTCCTGAAGTAGCACTTGCTGCTGCCCCACGGTGCTGGTCCCCACAGGACACGGTGACCGATGCAGAGCGCCGACCCGCACCCTCCCCCGCCGGAGGGCCGGCCCTTCTCTCCTGCGGAGCTCCCTCCCGGCTGTTCTGACTAGCTGCGGGTTCTTTGGGATGCTGCGTTTTGTTCTTGAGTTTCCTGTGGGGGCTTTTACTTGGGTCTTCTGAATACCCTTTTGGAGCCAGGAAGCTGTTTGTAGCTCGGGGAGGACAGCAGAGGGCCCGCAGCGTCTCCTGGGACAGGAACAGGTCCTGCAGCAGCTGGGCAGCCCGTGCGGCTGGTTTGGTGGCTGGCTTCGCCTGCTCCTCCGGGGCTGTGCTTGTCCCGTGTGCCCCAGGGAGCGTGAGCCAGCCCGTGTGGGCGTGGCCCTGCCCAGCCTGTCCCTGCAGGGACTAGAGGACAGGCGGGCGAGACAGAGGGGCTCGGGCCCGCCCCAGCCCGAGTCTGGGGCCTGCCGCAGCCTGGGCTTCCCATGAAGTCGTCGTGCTTTGAGACGCACCGGCCTGACGGACAGATTCCTTTGACGGCCGCTCAGAGCGTGTTGGCGGAAATGCCCAAGAGGCAGCTTGTAAATGAGTCGGACTGTGGGTTTGAAGTGAAGTTTAAAGTCTTAGTGGGGATCCTGGGTCCTTTGGCCATTGCTTCGCCTGCGGCCATCCTATTTCCTACTCTTGCCGCATGTACTTGATTTAAAGTGGTAAAGTTCTAGCAGTAAAGGTGCTTGCAAAAGGAAACCCTGCCGCCCTCGCGCCCTGCCAGCAGCTGCTTGCGTTTATCTTTCCAAGTCCCCTTCGCCGCCAGCAATGTCCGAGGGGGGCCGGGCGGCCGCGGCTCTGCAGCGGGGCCAGGGCCGGGACCGGAGACAGCGGCCGCTGCTTTCCTCGGCCGCGGCCCCGCTGGTCCCGCCGTGGCGTCGCGGGCCGGGTGTGCGCCGAGCACCCGAGTTTGATTTTTAGATGTCTTTAAATTTAGGTTTATTTGTTAATTAAATTAGAGTTGTACTCTGTGAAGGGGAGGCAGAAAATAAGTAGTTTGCAAAATTGTTCATTTGTTGAAAACATTTGTCTCGCTACGGCCTACATGTGCGCTGCTTGTTTTAGAAAGGGCGGTCTTGCTGAACGGCCTCGTCTTGTCTTCCAGGGAAGGACCTGTCCTCTCGGAGCAAAACTGATCTTGACTGCATTTTTGGGAAAAGGCAGAGGAAGAAGACCCCCGAGGTATGAAGCCCGTGGAGTGGACCCGCTGTTTCAGCACGGCTCGCTGTGCAGCGTGGGCAGGAGCAGCCGGACGCCGCCGGCTCCGCAGACGCCGGCCAGATGCCGGGCAGGGCGGGGGGCTGCCCTGGGCGATGCCAGCGCCCGTCTCCTCAGACGAGCTCGCCCCTGCCCACGGACGGGCGCCCCGCACGAGCCTGCATCCTGCCGGAGTGCGCGGGGCGCCGCCGCCGTCTGGCTCCTCGCGCCTTCCTCTCTAAAG